AGTAATGCTTGTGGAGATCTTTCTGAATCAGCCAAGCTTCAGCCAATTTCCAGATACATGAGCCCAGCCATACATCTAGCAGAACTGCCTGGCCCATCTGTAACTTACAGCTGACGCATGAGCAAACCCAGTCAAGATCAGCTCAACCCTGCAGAATTCGCCGGGTCATGGGATGATTTGTTATGCAGAATTATTGTGGCAATAGACTATTAATATAATAGGAAAAGTATTAATTTGGCCATTTTAGAATTGAAGATGGAGCTTAAAGCCTTGGTTATCACAGGCAGCCAGAAAATCTCAGAACCAAGACTCCGTCATAGGTGTTTTTCAAATCCAGTATTCTATTCACTACACCACACTGCTTCAATCCTTTACTTTTCTCTTTATTTCAGGTTTTTTTGTTGATATAGATATGTATGATTTAGGTTAAAAAATTAAGAATTTTAGGCAGCTTCTAACTCTCCACTGATTTCCCTCTTAGCTTTTAGCCCTTAAAAGTCATGTCGCCATGGCTTAAAGTTTGGATTATTTTCTTTATTTACTAATGTGGATCTCTTTGCAGTGTGCTGGAGTCTGTATTGTCCTGGTTCATATTTTCCAAAACTTCAGTAAAAGGAAATAACTTTAAATGGTCTACTCTTCCACACAGCTCCTATCCCTCCATTTTACGGCTCACATTTTATGCAGGGCTGTCAGGGTTTTCTGAATTAAATGTGACTTAAGGCCCGCGCTTGCTGACTGAGGAGGCTCACAGGTCCTATAGCTCATCCACAATCTCGTACTTGAGCTGTCAAGTGTGAGAGATTGGTGCCAAATTCAACCCAACATAGCCCCTTCCCAGTAGTCTGCCTTTGACAACTCCTCCTTGTCAAATCCAACAGTTTACATAGAATATATAGTGAATAAAGTATCCTGAAAGGTAGGAATGTAGAGGTGCTGCTTCGGCTGATGGCAGGAACACCTATCAGCTTCCCACAGGGCTGACATTTCAGGCTGGCAGGGGGGAGATGATCATAGGATTTTTGTGCTGCTATTTCTAAATGGATTGTAAAGACTCCCAAGGCAAATGCCTCACATCTTACCATCTGCCTCCATGAAGAGTCAGTGTGATGCAACTATGCAACTCGAAAAACTTTTTTTTGGTTTTGTATTTATAAAATAGAGCCCTCAGGTGAATGGTGCATAGAGCCTATGCAGGATTCCCTAGGACCGGGCCTCTCTGCCTTAAAGCTTAATGCTTTGGGTGCTTTCTCCTCACTGCCTGAAAAAACTTCTGGCCTTAGAATCATTGAATGTTAGATCAGGAAGGTAGCTAACGGTGCTTAGGGGTTTTGAAATACCCCACCCCCAATAACTAGGAACCAGCGGTTGCACAATTACCCTCCTAGTTAACCTCCTAGCTAAACACAGCATAGATATGCCAAGTCACCGGCTTCCTGGTTAGTAAGACCCAAGAGGTAGCCGCTGTGTGTTTTAATGTGGCGAAAGGGAAAATGTTACAGTCAGAGAGTGATTGGATAGCCAAGGAAACTGGAAAACAAGAAGACTAAGAAGGTAAGCATTGACTGTGCTTGTCCGAGCACCCACGGTGGTGAGGTCTCATGTCATTAGACTTGGCCTTGGCAGGCCTAAATTGCAAGGCAGTTCCAAATGTGGAGATGAATCTGGGGTGTTGTCATTAATAGACTGTGTGTATCTTTAGTCCCATTCATAAACTCATCTCTATCTTGAAATGGATGTGTCAGATTATGTTAGTCTTATGCCATTTAATATTTCATTCCTATAACTCTCTTTGGTTGATCCACGCTCAGCAAACATGCTGTTTTGCCACACAAGTCTACGTACAGCAGTGTGCAGAGCACTGGGCCACGCAGTGACTCGGGGATCTTTAGCGGTGATCCCACAAGAGAACCAACATGGCTTCTCTTAGGATTTAACTTCCAGGGCAGCTTGACCACAGGGGCAGAGTGGACTAATTCCTCAGATTCAGAAAAAAACAGGCCATGGGACAGTTATAAGTCTGTGTTTCCATGAATTTCCTGCCATTCTGTTTTCCACTCCAGTTTCATTTATATTTAGGTTCTTAAGAGTCCGCCTCTCAGGGCTTAGTTACACCTGTGACCTGAAAGAGGAAGTCTCTCAGTCTTCAAAAGGGAGGGACACATCCATTTGACATTGATTCCACAAGGTTATCTCAACCTTGTTTAAACCACAGAGCCTCTCGGTATACATGAAAGTCTCATGACCCACCTCCATCCTTCAAGGTGCCCGAGACAAATATCAGTACATCTTACAGATGCTCCCACCTGGCATTAAGAAAATTCTACTTCATTTAATATTATATAACAAAACAATAGGGTTTTGTCCCATATAATACAGATTCAGTGTCTATGTAAGTATACTATTTGCCCTTGTTACATTGATTCTCATAAGGCCCTCCCCACTTTCCACTTGAAAGTCATTGAACCCTCCTTCCCCCCAAACTCCCATCACTGTCCTAGATGATGCCTCTATAAAAGGCACAGATAAATATCTTCTGATTTCTACAGAAGGATCTTGAGTTACTTGTGATACAGCTGGTTTAGAATAGGTAGGGAGAGAACAAGGTATGAGTGTAGGGAAATGGTGATGTTTGAAGAAGCAACAGTGTTATCTAATTACTAAGCATCCATAATGGTTATTACCGGCAATGGTGTCATAGTGTGTGTGTGTGTGTGTGTGTGTGTGTGTGTGTGAATGTGTATGTGTATGTCTGTATACATGAATGTGAGTGCAGACACGAAGATAAATAAACCACAATCTTCATTTTCAAAGAGCACTAATTGTCAGAAACAGGAAAACCACATCCCCCCTGTCCCTCACTAGTGTTAAGGCAAGCTGTGCAATTCCACCTACGTCCCATCACAGGTTAAAGTCACTTGTCACACAGACTATACTCTAGAGCCAATTCTGTCATGTGGTCAGATGGGGATTCCTTGGTGTAGGAAAGACAAAACCAGTAATAATTGTTCCCCTTCAACCACCTTCCTCCATAAAAGCAGTTGTACTAATAAATCCCCAACATCTAAAGTTCTCTTATCAGTGAAAATACAGTTAGAAACCATTCTAAATTGTTTTTACAACTTTCATTTAAATTCAGAAACGGAAATAAGTAATCCCTACACTTTTTCATTTTCCTTAAGCATGTTCTGCACGTATACATAGTTCTTAAACCTCTGAGAATATAAAATTTAAATGTCCTTTTTTCTAATAATCGTCTAGTAATGAATATCAAATATTAATAGCTAAATAGATAACCATTACAATAACCACAATCCATTCTGCTACGACTCAGAGAAGCATTACCAGGTGAATATAAATTTTAAGAAAACAATGAGATTAGTGACACCAGTTCAACAAAGATCTGACCCAAATCAGGGAAAAACTCAACTAACTGAATCTTTATGATTGATGGATTATTCAAATAATTTACATATGGAGAACACTTAATTGCTTAGAACATACTTTTTCCATGTGCTTCACATACAGAAAAGCATATGACTTGCAAAAAAACCTCAAAAAACTCTGAGGAAACTACAGATCAGACAGGGTAAGTAGGTTGTCCAAATCCAGACGGCAGGGAGTGTGCTGATGTATGACGTGTGTGCGTGTTTGTGCAGGCAGATCCAATCCCTGGACTTTTCACTTCTGAGCTCACCGTCTTTTCCATTAATTACACCACAATGATTCCCTAAAGCCAAGATCCACAGTACACAAAACTGCCTTTTAACATTAGGAAAAGAAGTAAAGAGAAATTGTACTGAATTCTTCATAGTCAATGCTCTCAGGTTTTGTTGATGGACTTTAGGGTTGCTCAAACCATGAAACATAAAACATTGCACAGTAACTTTATGTTTGTGTGGCAAACCCAAATGATTCACAAATGCCACTAAAAGTATCATTTAATAAACAAGTAATTAAGACTAATCAAAAGATAGGAAAACTAATAGCTAATATAAATTGGATGGCATATATGACAAATATTGATATCTTAAAAGTTCACCCTTGTTATAAAAGTTTATGTGCATATAATTTCATTTAAGACAAAAAAGTCTAAATTTGTGTGTATTTATTTGTAGGTTTATATATTTATATTACATATTTTACAAACATCTATGTTTATATATGTATATTTTTAAGTAAAAACCAAACAGCATTTCTGGGTGCTAAACCCATTGGGTGAAAGTTTTTAGGGGAACAGGATATGCATATAATCTCAATTTATTACTTTACATATGATTACAAAGATAAATAGATACCTTTACAATGGACAAATCTGATTGATACCGCCTTACTAAATTGATCGAATTTAACATCATCAATAATAGGGCAAACTGACATCATATGCTTATTGGTGTATTGTAATATGAAACACACACCACCAGAAATGTTTAACCTGAATCTGAGAATGAGCAAATAATAGATAAAACAAATCCAGATTAAGGGTCATTCTGTTAAACCACTGGCCTGTACTCTTCGAAAAAAGTCAAGGTCATTAAAAAAAAAAGTGAAGAAATTCTTCCATTTTAATGAAAACTAAATAAGATGATAACAGAAGGCAATGTATGGTCTTTGTTTGATTCCTGGATCAAAAATACACCAGTTATAAAGGCCATTATCAGAAAAATTGGGGAAATTTGAATAAGGACTATATATAAAATAATATTATATTAATATTAAATTTCTTGGGTGAGATAATGGTATTGTGGTTATTCAGAGATTATCTTGTTCACAGGAGAAAAATGTCAAAGTATTAGGGGTGATGTATCATGATATCTGCAACTGACTTTCAAAATATTCAAAAAAATTGAGTCGAGAACTAAAGCAAACGTGCAAAGTGTTGACGAATGATAGGTCTAGGTGAAGGGTATACAGAGAGTGACTGTACTATTTTTCAACTTTTCCATGAGTTTGGTACTTTTGAAAATAAAAAATTGGGAAAAATAAAACCGAACAAAATTATTCTTTAAATTCTTTATTACATATGCCCATTTCAGCAGTATTGAAATATAGGTTTCCCATACCCACAGTCCTTTTATAGACTCAAAACATGAAATGCTGAATGAATGTTGCAAATTATAACACAATCAAAATTTCCAACAAAGTACTTTGAGAAGACAGAATATGTAAGAATTATGATGTTAAATTTCTAGTACAAATACGAAACAAGAATACAGGATATTGGTGATGCTAATATTCAAAATCAGTTTTCCCCGATTCTTAAATTCTCGGCTCCCCTCCTACTTAAAACCTAGGAAAGTATTCATTATATAAAATTGGAAGGACAGAATTCTTAAAACACCAGTTGGATGATGAGTTGGATGATTCTCTTTATAGGTACAATTTATTCTTCAGCAAACTATAAGCCATTGACAAAGTAACTCCAAAGCCAACAAAAAAACCCAAACCTCTATTTGGCTGGGGAAGGGGTGTCAAATATGCAATTGTGTGGTAGATCCGTGCTCCAACAAAGAGTCTGAAGTGCAGGATGGCTGTAGAAAGATCTGGACCACTCAAGGAATACAGAAGACCAATACCAAGAAATGGAACAATATTTTCAAGGTCATTCAGGTGGGCCCTGTGGAAAAAGATGACTATTAAAGACACTAATTTCAAAATCAGCAGAAATATATTCCCATTTCCCTCTCTTCTAAAACTGAATATAAGTGCTAATGGATCTTTAAATTGCAAAGGAAGATTCATTTTTTTCCTCAGATTGCCTGGCTTCCTTACCCACTTGACTTTTATTTAGAATGTCTCATTATTTTTGTTTCTTTTTATTTTTAATGCATGTTTAAACATAACAGAGAAGGTATTTTGTAGTTTCTAGATATCAAAACTGCATCTGTCTAATAAAACGCACTCCATTTTTGTAAATATGAAATATCTTCTCTTCTGAGGTTCATAACAATTAGTAATTCAAGATTCTTCCTATAAAAACTCTTTTTCCCAAAGGAAGAAAACCATTTCGGTGATGACCTTTCTTAGGGTGCCTCATTCACTTCTGCTACACTACAAAATGGTTATTCGCGAGTCTTTGCCAACTCAAACCGCTAAGTTGTCAAGAATTAATTTACCAATTAATATCAAGAATCTTATGCCCTTACATCCAAATAAAAGAACATATAACTAGCCTTTCAAATATGGGTAAGATTTTGGCCAACCTATCTTCAAAATGCCAAAGGAAGTAGTTAATAATGATGGGGCAAAAGTACAAAGTATACACAAAAATGATGGCTGAAACAGAGAGAGATTTTCTAAATTTTATCTTTATACCACAGCTAGTAGAAAACAAAAAGCATGGCTTAGCCATAGTTTTGCTCCAATCTATGACACCTTGGGTTTCTCTGGCTAGGATTGTTAATACAAGGCACATCTATTATTGACTTGACATTTTTAAAAATGCTTAATTTTAAAATCTGCTGTCCCCTTTAAAGTCTACAGAATTACAAATTGTTTTAGAATCTAGGCTAGAAATGGGGATTTGGATAGAGTTTGTCAGCTATGGATACATATTTCAAAGTGAAAAATATTTCTGTTTTATGTTACCGTCTTCTTTTTTAGCATAAAATATAATTATTTCCTATTGTCTGCTCAGTGATCACCATTATCCTCTCTCTTTTCCTTTCTCCTGTTTTCCTACATCATCTTTAACTTTGCCTGACAAAGCTGATCACTACACAAAGAGATGAAGAGGGCAACAGCAACGCAGATAAGTAACGGTTCGAAAGGCTTAGGCAAAGAAGTACCTGCCCCTCAATAAAAGCAAAGAGAGAAAGATGTGAGTGTCCCTGTGCCCTCTCTTTCACGAAACAACCCCAGGGCTACTGAGAATAAGATGGGCAAGAAAGGACAGGAATACCATTTTCTACTAAAGAAGGGCCCACTTCGTCAATTACACCAAGTGCATTTATTTTGGTCCTCTGAATTCTCCTGCAGGACCACAGGGATATCGTCACCTCCAGCCTTGAGTATATTAGTGTTCTCCTTCCCAACAGGCTAAAAGGACAGAAATTTTAAAGTGGAGGATGAAACTACCATAGGGAGAGACCCTCTGGAAAACAGTATCTATTTCTAAGCAATTGACAAATAGAATGCAATGTTATAGCAGACAAGTCGTCAAGGACAATGGGAGGACATGGGGCAGAGGGAAGGAAGGGTGGGGCAGGGGCTCCTTTGACTTTTCTGGCTCCCCCATTTTTTTCTGGCCTTACTCTCTATCTTATTTCTCCTTTTCAATCCTCTTTCTCTTTCTTCAGCCCTCCAAAGGTTCTCACAGATGTAACACTCCTCATTGTCCTAGTGTGGGCCCTCATGCTCTGTGCTAATGTATGCCATTGTTTATGCTGTTCTTTTTAGACCCTGTTCCAGGCATACCCTTCCCCAGCTCTCCCAGTGAGAACCTGCTGTAGCTCAGTATCACGCCCTTCCACTCTAACCCTTCTCTCTGCGCAAACAGCAGACCCCTTCCGAGAGTGGCAGCTTCCTTCACTTTAGTGCCATTTATAGACAGTCAAAACCTATTACCAAGTGGGTATCGGTCTTCTTGAGTGACCACTTTCTACCTGGGTCTATCCCCCCTGCCCCAGGATTCCATGTTCCCATTTCTCTCTCTTTTGGACCGGTGCCCCTTGGCACCCATGTGCTCTGTGACAGACCTTCCCACCAGCTCTGTGCTAATGATGTCACAGCCACACCTCATCCTTCAGATCAGAATCACTTGGACCTCAGCATCCACCTGACCTGGAACAGAGTCGCTACACACATTTGGGAATTGTCAGGGGGTGGCCAACTACAAAAGGAGCTCCACACCGGATTTCTCCTGACTCCCTCATCTCAGCCAAAGCTCTTCCCTCTCAGCATACAGCAGTGTGTCCAAATCCCCACAAAGGAATTCTCCCAAATTGACAGGATTTCTCCTTTCTTCTTCCTCTTTCCAAATCCTAATATTCTTCAAGGTCGTCCTTCACTAAATACTCCTAAATATCCTAAGACCTTATACTTTGTACCCCACCACTTTAACATGGAATGGACCACTGCTTCATATGATTCTCTAATTACTACATGCATGTCGGTCTTATTTTTAGGGGGAGTGTTATAAACCCAGGAATCCAGTCTTACAGCTCGTTGGTAGCATCCCAATGGAAGTGACGGTTGATACATACGTCATAATCTCTCCATTAATGCTTTGTTTATGCACTGGGGCCACAAGGATGTCACCTAGTTCAACCCCTAGCCAATGCTCGTTTCTTGCAAGAATCCCCGGCAAGTGTCACTTAGATTCCAGCAAACACTCTCAGTGAAGGGGTATTCTCTACATTAGGAAGTAGTATATTCTAAATGTCTCTCCTTTCCCTAAATACCAATCCCTAGCCTTACATTTCGTCTTTTGAATGAGTCCCTCTACTTCACCAGCTGCCCTGTTTACTTTTCAATTTCTTTTTGTCTTGTTGTATTGAATGTATATGGGTCTCGAACGCTTCTTGGAACAAGGTAAGATAGGATTAAATAAAGAAATATGTAAAGTGCTTTCTCACCATCACTGATTTCTATCTGCCCAGAACTCAAATAACTTACTTTAAGCCACATCTTGATATTTCAACACATATTACTTTAAGTCTTAGATTAACCATGCTATATGTGTATGTATTCATTTTCTCATTATTGCACACTGTAAAGCATACTTTTCCCTTCATTTGTAGCCCCAGTCTGTCCCTCTCATTGGAATATGCTTTACATGTTGAAGTAATAAGAGAGAAAAAAAGTTTAGGCTAAAAATGGGAAGGGGAGATTCTGGAAACCCTTTCTCTGAAAAGTATCTCCAAAAGTGTGTAATAACACTTTTTTAATAATAGGAACTTCTTCTATGGGGCAGATAAGGTCTCAAAAATTATTACTACAACTGGAAACTGGACACCTTGTCTTTCTTCGAGATGCTTCTCTTGCCACAATGAAAAGCCAGTGTCTGATCACCAGGGGGCGCTGTGCACACAATCGCTGCACTCCTCAAGGACACTGAACCCTTTAGGAACTAGGATCAATTGTTCTTACTAAAATGTATTTGCAACCTGACTAGACGATCAACTTAGACAATAGCTTTCTCCTCTAAAAGTGCAATCCCAAGGGCAGGGGGTAAGAGTAGGAGGTGGGAAAGAATGGGGGGGGATCCAAAATCTTCAAATAAATATCTTTTGTTAAGCTTTCACACGTGAGACTTACTTGGATCTTCATTTCAATCCTACTAATGCTACTGAGAGTCTAATTGCTATCACTTTCCAGTCATTCCTAGGCAATTTCATGAGTATAGGGCCATGATTAGCATCATGCTCACGCTGCCTGTTCTGAAAGGGAGGTACTCAAATGACAAGACAAAGCTTTAAACTGCCTGATGTCTCTTCAGTGGTTCTGAGAATTCCAAGCTTCACTCACCTTTTCTGATTTTTATTCTTTTTCATCATTACACTTACAATGTTTCCTCTGATATTGTTTGAAATTTTCACGTTGATTCCTTGTCCTGACACTATTTTAGATCCATACTCTTGGCACAACCCATTTTCCAGACTGGCTGATTTACTCGGTAGGACTGCTGAATTAACAAGCATATTACTAAGTGAAACAGAAAATGAAATTGTGTTCTAAGTATCTAGTATAGACTTTCTCTTAGAAGAAAAACATTCTTGCTGATGAATACCTTGGGAGTAGAACTGTTTTGCATGAGCAAGAAGGTAAATTTAATTTTAGTATTGAAAGAGCCAAAGAGTATATGGGGAGAGGGGGGAAGCCTGGAAAATGGTGCCATGCTGGGCACCAGGTGAGTGGAGAAGGGACAGGGCACATTCCCCAGAGACAGGATGCCAACGGACACTGTCAGACACAGCGGTCTAACATACGACTTGAAATGTTTGCGTAAACTCCTCTGCGCTTCCACTGAGTCAAGTCTACTTTTTTCACACTTTTCAGTTGATTTGTGGGGGAAATTGAGAAAAGGGCTGGGTTTACATCAGAGTAACAAATTGCAGAACATGGAAACATGCACAGATCCAGACGCCCAGATCCAGAGTTAATCTTGAGACCATATGCCCTAAGGGAATCTGCAGAAATCACAGGAGAGACTTCAGCCTTTCACAGGGCATTGAAAAAGGGATAATGCAAATATAATCTAGATCCTAAAGACACTAGAGACTCCAGCCGATACCTCAATTACAAAAGTAAAACTCTTTTCTTTCAGTATTCATTTCACTATCTATTCACACTCATGAAATTGAGGAAGTATACTCACATACATTCATTATATTTCCTATCTAACCTATTCATCAAAAATCCAAATACATGCACATTTAACGGTGGCTTAAAAAGACTCTTCACTAATTCTTTAATTGTATATAATTTTATGTGTTTCTTCAAATGTGCCTAGAACTGCACCACAGTTTGGATGAGCATCAGAAAACTCTAAATGAGAAGATAGTATATAACTTTGGTATTTCACGTTAGAAAAAGGAGACTAAGGGATTTGCACTGAATCTCAATATAAAATATTTCATGATTTACATAACTTTATGATAAAGATTAAGAAATATACCTGCAAAACTAGAATTCAACCTGCTTTTCAAGTAAGTATATTAATCATATTGTTAGGAATTATGTAGATGGTATCTTGGCTTATTGCTTTTCATTGTTCATTGAATTCCCAGTACATTAAACATACTATCTACAAAAGAGAGAGAGAAAGAGATAGGGAGATTGATTTCCCTATTTCTGCAAAAATTATCAACATTCTTATTTTGAATCTTATGCAAAAACACCTAGTTGTTCAACTTTTTACGTGAGTTAGTCTCACCTCTGGAGAAAGATGACAGAACTGCAAGAATCCACTGTCCCCATTTTACCTCCTACCTGCCATTACTTTTGATATATCCCTCTACAGAGCAAAGTCATTAACCCCCAACAAACTGCATATAAAAGTACAGTATTGCAAAACTGGCAAAATGTGCAATTACAGTGATACTTGAAGACTTTTAGATCCCTAAATTTCTGCAATTATCATATATAGTAGGTAAAATGACTGGCTTTTTATCCTTCTTCTCCAAGATCCCAGCATCTTCATCAAACTCCTTGGCTAAAATTCTTTGGTCTGGTATGTAATTTCTAGACACGGTGGTTTACCTTCTTACACGTTCCACTCTGTCATCTGTGCGAAGATACTTCTTGGCATTTTCTCCTTTGCCAAAGCCTGCACAGTCTTCTGGGTTGGCAAAAACCTATTCCAAATACCAAGCAAAAAACTTATTCCAAATACCAAATAACATAGGTGTATCCCACCTAGTAAGTTATTGGCATGTTACTAGAAGAAATACAGGTATCCAGGTTGGCACTTACTGAAAGAAAATTTGGAGCAGTAAGTCAAACACGGGGGAGGAAGGAGCATCTATAGTTTAAACCTAAATTTTTATTAACAATGCAAAATTTTTTAAAAAAAGCATAGAAAAGAACTTAAATAAAAACCAGCATATAAAACAGTATGAAGGAAGCAAAACTGGAAAAGAGGCATAATTCCAAGTCATCATTGACTATTATTATGGTTCACTGGTATCTCTTTCATAGTGATGTTGACACACCTTCCCTCGAGTGTATTAACATTTCCAGGTGATTGGCTCTTCTGAAAGTAGTAAGTTTACTTGCCAAAAATGTTAGAGAACAGGCAAGAAGCATAAAAGAAAGAGGAGTGGGAAAGGTATTTTGCACTATGTTAGGATATGTGTACCTCTTTTCTTTTTCCTAAACTAGATAAAACTTTGAGTTGAAAAATACTGTGCAGTGAAATTTAAGAAGCTGAACTGCATGCTTAAGAATAATACTACATATTCATATATTCCTTCCTGCAATTATTATGCTGTTTGAAATGATTTCCCCATCCCTTGAAACTTGAAATATGCATTTACAAAACATGTACACATGTCCCACTGTTTAATAATTTACTATAAAGAAAAACACAAACTGCAAAATGGGGCTTAATTTAAGCTTAAAAAAATCTCATAAATATTACATTTTTTCTTAATATGATATGAGCATTTATTCCAGATGAAGATGTTGAGGAAAACTGACAGGCAGAAATGTGATACAGTATCAGCTTTTGAGGTCAGGCTTGTCTGTCTTGCTCATTTTAGTGTCCCCTAAAGAAGTGCCTGGCACATACTAGATGTACAATAAATACATTCTGAATAAAGAAATAAATGTATTACAATGGAAAGTGCATGAGATTTGGATTTAAAACAATCTCGATTTGAATCTCAGTCTCACCCTATACTTGTATGTAACCTTGGGTAAGCTATTGCCATGAACTGGAGGTTTGTGTCCCCCCAAATTTCATACGTTGAAGCCCAATCCCCGGTGTGATGGTATTTGGAGGTAGGGCCTTTGGGAGGTGATTAGGCCACGAGCACAGCCCTCATGAATGGGATCTGTGCCCTTACAAGAAGAGACGGGAGAGAACTTGCTTCTCTCCCTCTCTCTCTCTCCCTTTCTCTCTCTCTGCTTTACCCATGTGAGGACACGATAAGAGGATAGCCACCTACAAAACAGGAATCAGGCCAGGGGTGGGGGACCTATAGCCTTAAGGCTGCCTATGGTCTTCTAGGTCCTTAAGTGTGGCCTTTTGATTGGATCCAAAATTTATTTTTATTAATGCAAGTTTTTCACCTTTAATATTTTTATTTTACTTTTTAAATGAATGTATTTAAAATACCAAAGAATAAAATAAGTTTCAATAAAATAATCCTCCCAGACTGACTGGCACAGTTAGAACATTAGTAAGCCATAAGGGCTAAATTGACAGCTGTCACGCTCATGATTTAGTTCTAACTTCCCCCACCTGACTGACGCCACTATCGCATGAGGCTGGTTGGTGAGAGTTTATGGGGGTGGAGTACGCCAGTCTGTTATCAGCTTTTGACAAGGGTGCACTGTGTTTCTGTTTGAAGTGGAATTTGTGAATAGTTGCATAGCTCGGCAGTATTTTTTAATTCTGTCTGCTTAACAGCCCATCATGTCAAAAAGACCAAGAGAATGCTGAAGGAAGAAAACAGATTTTTTAATGAGGATTGGGAATTACAATATTATCTTGTTTCTGCTAAAGATGATTTGCTTGGTTTGTGATGCTGCAATATCAACATTAAAGAAATTTAATGCTCATCAGCATTATAACACTCACAAGGACCACAAATATTTTAAATTTAGAGGGAGAGGCATGACAGGTTGTATTGTAGAAATTAAAAGATAAGAAGCAAAAGCAAAGACGATTCTTTCAAGCAACAGTAGGACCGGGAAAAAATGCCACTAAAGCAACTTGTAAAGTAGCTCATACATTCAGGAAAAAGGGGATGCCATTCATCGATGTAGAAATTTTGAAAGAATGCATTGTTGAAGTTGTAGGACGCTTAGACCCAGACGACATTTCGAAGTACTGCCTCTTTCGAGGAGAACCATAACTGATTGGTAGCATGAATTCACCTGCAACTTAACAGAACAACTTCATGTAATATTTCAAAAGGAAAATATATATTATTCAATCACTTTGGATGAATCAACTGATACTGCTGACTAGGCACAGGTTTTCTATTTCATTTAGGTTATAACAGATTTTCTTTGCTATGAAGAGTTACTCGCTTTGGACGCTCTTGAGAACAGAATATGGGGAATAGGTATCTTTGACAACTTTCAAGATAAACATCATGAAGTTGGACTGAATTTGGTCAATTTAGTGAGTATTTGTACAGATGGTGCACCTTCCATGACAGGAAAACATGAAGGGTTTATTGCACAGATAAAAAAGTATTAACAGATCCAGATGCTCTCATTTTTTTTCATTGTATCTTGCATCAGCAAAATCTCTGTGGTAAAGCTACCATTTTAAGTGACCTTTTGCAACGAGTTATAAGTATTGTTAACATATTGGTACAAATGCAACACAGCATCACCAGTTTTGTAACATGCTAAAGTTAACGATGAGGTATTCAGTGTGGATTTGCCTTATCATCCTAAAGTGCATTGGCTATCACAGGGACAGGTGTCAGTCAAAATAAATATTATGAAAGACAGAATCAGCAATGTGAATTATTGAAAGAAGATTTCTATAGGAATGCCGCATTTCTGTGTGATATCATGTCAAATCAAAATGACTTGAATATCTCTTTGCAAGGTAAAACTAAGTCTACATATGGTATGTGGCCAAAAATCCAAGCATTTAGAAAAAACTATCTTTCTTCAAAACACTTCTCCAAAAGGAAACATTTTCCCCAGTTAGAAAAGGTCATTGAAGAGCAGGATGATATATGCGAATCATTTGAAGAATAAGCAGCTGTTATAGACCTATTAATTGGAGAATACAATGAAAGTTTCACTGACTTTGAGGATCATGACACCACACTCAAATTAGCATTTCAGCTTCACCTAGTTGATACCATCAAGGCACCTAAAGAACTACAGATGGAATTGATTGAGCTCTCAGCAGATGACATTTAAAGTTATTGTTTGATGCTAAGAAAGATCCAACCGAAATATGAAAAAGTGCCTTCGGCAACATGCCTGAAAAATGGTTTCTTGCTTTTCAAACATTTATTGCTGGGAATCTACATTCTCCTACCTAACCCAAATCAAGATACCCTTAAGATCACAAATGTCTGATACCCATCTAGAGGATCAACTGAAACTGCGGACCTCCATGCTGCGACCAAACATTCAAATGCTTTCCAACAAAAAGCAGACACAACAAAGTCATTAAAAGCGTAGTTAACTTTAAAATTAAGAATTTTCATTTTTTGAAATGATTAAGTACATAGTAGTTAGATTTTTACAAAATATTATACGTTTTTAAGTATATCTAATTGAAGTTTCTTGAATGCGGCCTTATTTGATTACAGCTAAATTAACGTGGCTTTCCAACATGAAAAGATTCCCCACCCCTGAATCAACCCTTCAGCAGACACCAGATCTGCTGGCATCTTTATCTTGGACTTGCCAAGCTCCAGATCTGTGCGAGAGAAACGTTTAAGCCACTCTATTTGAAATAGCATGCCAAACTGACTTCACAGCTACCTACGCTGTCTTTCACTTCCTCTTCTATAAAATGGGGAAACCAACCCTCAATTCACCTGACCATGCTACTAATTATGAAAAACGATTCAGTGATCAGGCACATATAATAACTAGTGTTGTGACTCCTGGCACAACAAACCTGAATTCCCTTCCTCTTTTCTTATTAAGGGAGGGTACATTTCCTTGGTGTCATTCCTCACTAGAGGGCAGTGTGGATCTAGTAGCAGTCAGGTTATGACCTGCAGCTCCAGCACTATGCCCCATCAGAGACTTAACTGTGGGTAGGTGCCAACTATTAACATGCAAATATCCATCCATTATACCTCAAGACAGTAACAAGGAAACAGCTCAGGGAGAACTGTGATCTCTAGATAAAATCAAGGCTCTGGAAAAACAAAAACTCAAGACAAGGCTAAGAGAAAACAGGTGGCTTCCAGAAGGAAGTTGCTAACAGACACAGGGACTATACCAATGAAAATCTTTTAACTTTGTGAAGGCAGCCTCACTCATCCCCTTTCCTGAGCCATAAACTCTGGCAGAATACTAATATGTGGTTCAAAATCTTTCTACCACCTTTCACACACCTGCTTTTTTGTAAAAAGTCCTTCTTATAATGCTGGGTAGAAAGGGCATGGACTTAAGAAGTCAGAAGTATACAAAATTCATTCTAATTATAAGAGGCTCTACTGTGGGAATAAGAATTTTAATTCTCTGCCATTTGTTTTTCTTTTTTTCTTTCTTTCTTCTTTTTTCCCCCTACTCTCCCCCAACCAAAGAATACTTATAACCTGTAATAAAACTGAAAACACCAGTTAACTGTCTGGGAAATGACTATTTTCTAAACTGTAATTGGCAAAATTAACTCCGAAATCACAGAAAGTCTCCTTGAAAACTCTGATACTCCAGAAATCTCATCTGCTAAAAAGAATGACAAAATGTAAGAGTCACAATGAAAAAATCATTTACTATTTTCTGAGAGAAACAACTGTGCCATAAATATATTAGATCCATCTGCATCAAATGATTGTATACTTCACTTACAGCATTAAACAGTGTGATATTGGGCTATTCAAAAAAAAAAAAACTAAGAAAACCGCTTTCCAGAATTCCAACTCTTAAAAGTAAGAAAATTTTACTTCCAAATTTCTTACCTTTCTTGTTATTCTGTAGAATGCAGTTGCTGTACTCATAAACATCATTTTCAAAAGAATAATTGCTGCATAGGTGGCAAAGGCCATGAATACGTCATTTTCCATTAGCTGGGTAAGGTCAGCCATTTTTTCAATTTTGGTCTGAAATCTTAAAAAGATTTTAGACGAGATGAGAAAAAGCACGCACAAATACCCAAAATAACTTGATGATCATTTGATTTGCTTATATTGCAGCATTAACTGTTAATATACTGTTCTTAAAAGCATCTTGGGTTATATGCAAAAGAAATGAATATTTCGTTTTAAAAATTTTAAAGTAAACAATATTTTGTTTTCTCTAGTTCGACATCATTAAGCTTGTCGACATCAAACAAGTACTGAATGAAAATGTAGGTGGTATTACAAGCAAAAATAAATAGCCAAATGCCCTAAACATACACTAAAATCATATGTTCGCACCAAGATGAACTATAGGTTGAATGCACAAGACCAGAGGTCTTAAACTGATCTCTTTAGAAACATTAAACTCTGTACATAGTAGTGCCACTGCTGTTTTACTAGAAAGGCCTAGGTTCTAATCTATGCCCTGCTTTAGAAACCCAACTTAACAGGTTTTTCATCATTTCAGTAGTATTCAATATCACAGGCTCCAGGATCTGAATTCCATTCCACCATTTAGCTACTAAACTTGCTTGAAGCATTCAGCCTCTCTGAGACTAAATTTCTTCATTTATAAGATAGGAATAGTAATAGCTTCTAACTTAATGGGCTGTTGCTGAATTTCATTGAGATAACATGTGAACTATACTTAGCATAGCACCTGGCCCATGAAAAACCTTAAAGTTTATGATATCTTAATCATGGTCATCACTATCATCATGATCACGGTCATCACTAATACCAAGACAGGTGAAGGACAGAAGCAGTATAATGGAAACATCATAGTAACAGGCTTGCAAATACAAGGTAAGGAATTAGCATTTATGGCACTTTCACAGAAGGAATGAGAGAAGAATTAGCTTTATGACTCTTCAGGTCATTTCGCATTCCATAGTTACACCCATTTGAAAGCTGTCGAATAAAGGAATGTCACTGCCTGCTTCTGGAGTTGGAAGTATAATCAGGAATGTGGTCAGGAGGAAAGCTAAGGCACACTGGTGATACTGAAGTCAAAGCATGTAGAACTTCACAGAAAGTCTTAAAATTTAAACTCTCAGCCGTGTTTGACAGTTGTTCTTTGTAACCTCCTCTTGTCCTTTCATCAGCCCTGCATCTACTTCCTCTATCTCTTCCACAGAAACGCACATCTTTTCCCATACCCAGGCTTAGACACTATCTAACCTGCTTAGCATGCAGTACTACCTCTTCTAGATGACACCTGTTCCTGCCTTTAAAGCTCAACCCCTGCAGGTGACCTTATTAGCCTGACAAGTATCAGATTCTGATCATTCTGTCCATCTACCAATAATCTATAAATATATACATATTTCTATATATATTGTTACTGATCATATAGTTGTCTACTGTTGCTGGTGAATATGATATAAACCACATATATTTAATTTTATAAGAGTTTGCTACATGTCCAACGATGCCATGTGTGTTTTGTGCAATACTTTACATAATCTTTGTAACTGTATTTTACTTGTCAGAACTATATCCATTTCACAGATGAAGAAAATGGGAATTAGCCAAGCTGGGACATAAACCCAGGCCTTTGACTTCACATCCCATACACTAACCACATTGTACTGTCTCCTTCAAGAGACTTGATTAATTCAGCTCTCAACTGTTTAATTCTGCTTAATTCTGATTCACCTGACATTGACGGAATGCCCACTTTGTGGCTGGCATAGCTGGGCATCCCTGGCACCTATCATCTTCTTTCCTTTTCCAGTTATTCCCTGAGATAGGAAGTATCATTCCTATTTTGCAGATAAAGAAACCAAAGCTTCCTAAATATTAATAAATCCCTATTTTTGTTTTCTTAGACTAAAAATGTACTCCTCAGATTTAGGCAAATAAAAACTATATATTCTAGTTATTTAAAAAAAAAATCCCACATATGATAGCAAATTAATCCACAAGTCTGTGGTCTTGAAAGCACAGTCTGTTAGATTAGTTCTCAGTGCAAGATAATACTTTCAGTAACATTTAATGTATCTGCTCTTGTTCTAGTATTGAGGTGAAAGTCATGAATAAACTGCATTATCCTTCAGAGCACATAAAAAGTAATTTGCTCAATAAAGTATCACTAAGTCCTATGCCTCTACACAGAGATCTGAAGAAATATAGCAGGAATGTTAAATTTTAAAAAATTAAGAAAAGTTTATCAAGTAGGAAGTTGCTACTTAACAACAACCTTACTAATGTACTAATGTTCCCAGAATGAAATTTATTTGGGGATGAAACAAAAGTCCAGAGAACTTTTTTTCCCCTCCTCAGTGAAAATCAGTATTGAAAGAGTAGAGAAAAAGTGGAAGCCTTCCAAAACTGTTAGTGGGAAAAGAACACAAAGATGTCAGCAGCTGGGGAAAAACGGGAATGGGAGGCATTTTCTTTAAAAATGAACAACACAAAGAAAGCACAACTCACACAAAGAGTTTCTCAATCGTGAAGAATGTGGCTTAACTCCTCAAGTCAGTGGTTTTGGGAGAGGGGCCAACACCCAGCCTCTGATACACACCCTACAGGTCATTAAACCAGGTCTCCTGGATAACATTTTCCACTGCCAAAGTACCCCAGGACCAGGTGATGAGTAGTGAAGGTAAGAAAATTAAGAAATAGAAGTTGGCCAGGTGTGGTGGCTCACTCCTGTAATCCTAGCCTTGATCGCTTGAGGTCAGGAGTTCAAGACCAGCCTCAGCAAGAGCAAGATCCCATCTCTACTAAAAATAGAAATAAATTAGCTGAGTAACTAAAATAGAAAAAAAAATTAGCCTGACATGGTAGCACATGCCTGTAGTCCCAGCTACTCGGGAGGCTGAGGCAAGAGGATCCCTTGAGCCCAGGAGTTTGAGGTTGCTGTGAGCTAGGCTGACACCATGGCACTCTAGGCCGGGCAACAGAGAGAGACTCTGTCTCAAAAAAAAAAAAAAAAATAGAAGTCATTTATAGCACGGATTAAAGCGATGCTGGTTTGGACTTCTCTTTTCCCCCAAAGCTGATTTATCAATAAATTGCCATGAGCCTGATGCATAAAACTCAAGCCACTATCATGGATAGGCACTACAGTCAAACTTACTGAAAGCTTTTACCAGGAAAGGTAGCCAGAAGGAATAAGAGCAGTCCAGTAGTAATAATAATTAAGAAATAATAATAAATAAATAAATAAAATGTGAGGTGACCTGAGTAGTCCAGGAATGAGGGAGAAATAATCTAAGAAAAAGCAAGTAGGGAAAAACACGAAACTTGGTTATGAATGACAGAAGACATTTACAATGATGAATAACATTTGCACAGTGGTTTGTTCACTTTATCATCCATTTATTGGCCAGCATAGTAGTGTATATGTCCACATATTTCACCAGAGATTAGGGCTCAGTCCCCAATTTCGAAGTGACTGCCTTGTAAGAGGACACAGGGTGGAGTATCTTAACTGAGTGAAGTGAAAAGTGCTCAGAAAAGCACTGAGACGTACCAAGCACTATGTAGTGTTTAGTAAATAAGAAAGTTCCGACTTTGGTGCTGTTCCAGGCACTGAGGATACCATTTTAAAATTTTCAAAAACCTTTTGCATACTTTATCTCACTTAATCTGATAAACCCTAAAGTAGTCAGTGCAAATACTTTTCTCTAGCTTTAATATACAAGGAAGTCGAGGCCCACAGTGGTCGAGTGTGTAATATGACCCAAATTCACAGGTGGAGAGACCAAGACTGGGATTCAGTTTTTTCAACCATTTAACTCATGGGCTAGCCACCGTCAAGGCTAAGAATTCTAGACAGCTCTGGTCTTCCAGAGGCATTTTCCTGTTAAATCCCATTCCTCTCCTGTTTTTCCCCCGTTCAGAATCTATCAGAGAAGTGTCTTCACCTCTCAGTTCACCCCTCCCCTTTACAGGCTCTTGGCCAAACAGAGCAAAGTTCTCTTCTTCTCAGGATTATGCGGCCTCTCTACACCAATATTGTGAAACACACGGAAAATGTGGGCACGCATGCCCAGTACCATGACTCTGCAATTTTGTGCCTTCTGAAACTAACAAACACTACATAGGAGATTTTTTTTAAATAAAGATAATTCAGGGGCCATGTTGCTGTTTTCGTTAATCAATTCTAGAATTGACCGAAGAGGCTGTTTTAGCTGCAAACTCAGCCTCCTATGTGGTCTCATGCAGAGGGGATCCAGAACCCAGGGGCCAGGAGGAAAATGCTGGTGGCTGGGGGAGGGGGCAGGCCAAAGGAGGATGTGGTGGCAAGTCCATTCTCAGGGGACTGGGGGGACCTCCTTTTCCAGCCTCCAGGATTAATAAACGCCACTCTAAAACGAGCCCTTGGAAAAATTTTACTTGCCTGCCACAGAGAGTAATATTCAAATTTGGACAGATTTGCCATATTTAAACGACCAAAGATGGTCAGCACACATAGTCATCTTATTTTGGAAACAGCAGAGGACTACAAAGCCCAGGACTCCCCTAACTCCCAGGACAGCAGACCTGAAAGGTATAAAAAAGGTGAGCCTGGCCTGGCTAGGGGCTCCCCAGACTAGAAAATCCTAGGTTTAAAAACTATTAGCTGGGGAGCTAGGGGACACACTACAATGCTTGATAAGCACCCAGATGGCACTCATTTGGAGAGAAAACAGGGAGAGGATATATGAGAAAATAAATATGCTGCTCGGATAACGACATTTCAAGGGGTGCAAGGAGGCCAGAAGACTCGCATGCACCCTCTCTCCACTGCCCCAGTGCAGCCAGAGCAATAATATCTGAGGCCTTAATTCCCCAAAAGGGTTCCCTTCTCCTTTCCTCCTTCCACATGGCTTCCTCCTCCAGACTGGAGGAGGGGCGTGGGGTGACACACGTGAGAACCCTCCCAGGGGTTTTTATCCCTAGCTCTCCAGTCATCTGGCTATAAAATCAATATCATAATCCAATCGACATCCTCTTGCACTGATATCGAACATTATTAATTATTATAATTTTTAAAACTTGCTGATGTTTCTCTTGCCTATCGAAGTGAACCAAGAAGAGCAAACCCTGTCTTGCAATAGATACGAAGGCCATTATGTCCGTGAAATCAACAGCCAACGCGACTTCCTCTTTTCCTACACGTGCCTTTCCCTCCCCCAAAGTTCAAGGGACCCTTTCAAAGGGGAGGCTGCTTTGACTTAAAACTAAAAAGTGAGGAAATCATCCCTTAAACACGAAAAGACTCACTCTCAAGGTTCGTTCTAGGAGTTTGAGAAACGGGAAAACTTCCTCCCACGGGAACAGAAACGCAATGCCCCTGCAGGAGCGAGCGACCGGAAAGCGGACGTTTAGCAGCTAAATGGAGCCAAGAACTTTCGGGCTGGCAGAGACCCTCAAGCCTTACGCCCGCCACCAGCCCTTCCCGTGCCCAGCCACCCTCTCCACGCCCTCCCTCCACACCCCCGCCCCGGGCACCTGCCGTGACGCCGAGGGAGGCTGCGGACCCGTCCAGCCGCCGGGCGCGCGGGCACTGCAGGCAGTGGGCTGTGTCACCGCGCGGGCAGCACGCAGGCGCCGCCCCCTCCCCGGCTAATCTCGTGGTAATCAGCTCTCCAGAGTTTAAACCCGATTTCCCAACCTCTCCAAGCCCCTCCTCTAAATCGCCTGACTTTTTCCCGCGGAGTAACTACCGGTTCCCTTCTTTGAACCTTTGTATTTGGCGCCCCAGAAGTTCTGGTTCCTGAAATGCCATCCCCCTTTTCAGTAGGGAGGGGACATTAGCGACTGCATAGGAACTCTGGGTCCTCAAGCATTTCAGGATCGGGAGAGGGGAAGGAAGGGGAAGACCGTCCACATTTATTTAGCTGGAAACAATGAAAAAGATCTCAGTGTTGCATTTTGAAAGCTTTAAAAAAAAACTTTTTATATTTCTAGGGGAAAACTGATTAGAAGTCATTGACATAAGTACCTTCCCTTCCCTGCAGCAGTGGGGAGGCCTCCTTAAAAGGCTAGCACTGACAGAAAGTAACCTTTAACAAAGATGATCACGTATAGTGTTCCAAATTCGTGACACCAGACAATTTGCTTTGTCACTCTGTCCCCACCCATTGAGGGTTCAAAATGGAATTGGAGGAGATTATACTGGATCGATTCATTACACAATCAGTTTAGTACGTTTTTTACAGGGACATTTAGAGGAGTGTTTTAGGAGGACAAAGTTATGCTAACATCAATATCTAGATTAGGGATATTTCCAAGCTTCCAATTTCCCACAATCCCCACAATAATATTTGTGGATCTGTCTTCCATGGGTTTATCTGAAAAATTTTTAATAACTTATGTTTTCAATTTATATTACTTCTCTCATAATAATGCATCTCAAACATTTACCACCTGTTGCCATGCCTACTTCCTTCTCTTTTTGTTTTACCTGAATTTTACCCCCTTTAGGCTTTAAGGGATACTCCCAGAACTAACTTTCTAGGATTTGATGGACAAGTTCGTCTTCTACCAAAAACAGAAGTAAGAATTACCAGTTTGCTCTAGGAGACAGAAATGAATCCCAGGCAGACCCAAGAACGATTTTTACATAAGCATAACAGTAGGAGCATTGGAAAATCTAGAATCAGAAGACATTAGTGCTTCATTTTTATGTCTGTATCTTTTGAAAACCATATTTATTCACCTATCTGGGTAAAGTACACTAGAACCTGGCTGTAACACTAACTAGAATAATATATAATTTGAGATTCTAAAAAATCTATTCTGCATTCTCTCCAAGGGAGTTTGGCATTATAAGTATTTAAAAGACTGTTTTCATTTATAACAAGGTGATACAGCCCAAATCTTATGAATAACAATTGCAGAAAAAGGTACAAAAGAGCTATTATTTAAATAATTTGATCTACAGTATGCCATTTGAGTGGTTCTAACATGTTTTTGAAAAGAAAGGAGCACTTGATTCAACTGCAAATGTGTTCAAACTATTAACTAATCAATGAATAAATACTAAGTTCTTGCTATTAATAAATCATTAACAATTATTGCCTATCTGCTATATATATGACACTGTCTTTGGTACAACACCAACACTCGACTGCTATAAATATAATTTAATAAACATTTATTAAGAGGCTTGATGCTAAAATCTAAAACTAAGATAAAATAACTATCCTTAAGGAATTTATGATCTAGTAAACACAAACACAAAAAGGTAAAAAGTTGCCATTAAAGTTGTAGAAGAAAAGTTTCAATTTAGAAATAAGAATGATAATTGGGGCACGAACTAGGACAGTAACAGGAAAAAGTTGTGAAAAAATTGATGCTTTCTATTGATCTTTGCTATATGCTGTTAGATGAGTGAGGAAGAGAAAGGGTTATTATTCAGCTTGTTTTCGTTTGGGTAAAAGGAAAAGCTCAGATTTTCAATCCTTCTCTTTACCACCATTTTAATCCTAGAATAAAATCTTTCAGAGAAACCCAATCCAAGCTTCAAGACAAGTAATTCCCTGGTAAATATTAAAACAGTTTAAAAGGTCATTGACTTGGGGTGGGGAGAGCAAAGGTCATTCAGCAAAGAGTAGCTGCTTGTTGGAGAGATCCAGTCAGAAAAATCTGAAGAACAAAGCACTAGAAGTCCAGCAGTTCCTGTCTTTTAAAAACAGACAAGGAGAAATATCAAAAAGGATTGCCATGGCCACTTGATGAGGCTTATTGTAAATGAAAGGAAAACAGGTGCCCATCACCCCTCTCAATTATATTGGATCTTTTTTCCCTAAATCCACGGAATAGGTGCCCCACACAATCTGAAACATAGGGAGCAGGCCCTACTTGGGGATTTCAGTAGACACAGATGAGACTACGTCTTAAGATAAAGGGCCCTAAAAAGTGAAATAAAAATAAGCAACATTCTACACACGTAAATGTTATTTTAGAATTATATTTTTTAAATGTACAGTACATTATTTATCTCTCCTACAATCCTATAAGGGAGTTCTTATTTTTCTTGTTTTACAGATGGTCACTCTGAGATCCGTGGCAGCTTGGCAGTTGTGTTAACTTCTGAAATAAACTCTGAACTTAACACCAGCAAGAGGCAACAATGAGAGGGACAGAACTAAAAAAATGATAAGATTCTCGAAGCTAGTCAAAAGAGTATGTAATCCTAGCTCTCTGGGAGGCCGAGGCGGGCGGATTGTTTGAGCTCAGGAGTTCGAAACCAGCCTGAGCAAGAGCGAGACCCCGTCTCTACTAAAAATAGAAAGAAATTAATCGGACAACTAAAAATATACAGAAAAAATTAGCCGGGCATGGTGGCGCATGCCTGTAGTCCCAGCTACTCGGGAGGCTGAGGCAGGAGGATCACTTGAGCCTAGGAGTTTGAGGTTGCTGTGAGCGAGGATGACGCCATGGCACTCTAGCCTGGGCAACACAGTGAGACACTGTCTCAAAAAAAAAAAAAAAAAGAGTATGATAAGGGTATAAGGATAGACAAATAGGTCAAAAGAATAGAATAGAGTCCAGAAATAGCATCACATTTAATTGGGCAATTGATTTTCAACAAAGGCGCCAAAGCAATTCAATGGAGAAAAGAAAGCTTTTAGCAAAGGGGGCTGGAACAACCGAATAGCCATATGGAAAAAAATGAACTTCGACCCCTAACTGACACGATGCACAGAAATTAATTTGAGATGGATCGTAGACCTAAACGCTAATGCTATAAAGCTTCTAGGAGAAAACATGGATTATCTTCATGACCTTGGAGTAGAAAATGCTATTTTAAACAGGACACAAAAAGCATTATCTGTGAAGCAAAAAAATTGATAAATTGTACTTCATCAAAATTAAAATCTTCTGCTCATCAAAAGACATCATTAAGAAAATAAACAGGCAATTCACAGACTGGGAGAAAATATCGATACTGTACATTTATCTGACAAATAACTTGTATGCAAAAGAACACTTGTGACAATAACATAAAATTAAAAATAGAAACATGAAAAAGTATTTGAACGCACACTTCACAAATGAAGATATATGAATGGACAAGGAACACATGAAAGGGTGTTTAATGTTATTAGTCTTTAGAGATATGCAAGTCAAAACCTCAATGAGATATTTCTTACCAAAATTTACAAAAGCAAGAATTAAAAAGACAGACAAAATCAAATATTGAAAAAGGTATGGAGCAAAAGGAACTCTCATACATCGTTAGTGAGGGTATAAAATGGAACACCAACTAGGAAAACTGTCTCATAGTTTCCAATAAAAATAAACAGACATCTGTTTTTTTAAATTTTTAATTGTGTTGGATACATAATAGTTGAATATATTTACAGGAAATGTGATTTTTGATACAAGTATGTAATGTGTATTGATAAATTCAAGGTAGTTGAGGGAGCTATCACCTCAAGCATTTATAATTTCTTTTTCTTAAGAACATTCCAATTCCACTCTTTCAGTTAATTCAAAGTATACCCTAACTTATTGTTGACCACAGTCACTTTGTTGTGCTATCAAATATTGTTTATTCTAACTATCTAACTATATTTTTGCACCCATTAACCATCCCCATTTTATCCCCACCCCCCACTACACTTCTCAGCCTCTGGTAATCACCACCTACTCTCCGTCTCCAGAAGATCAATTGTTTCTAATATTTAGCTCCCACATATAAGTGAGAACATGTGAGATTTCTTTTTCTGTGCTTGGCTTATTTCACTTAATGTAAAGTTCTTCAGTTCCATCTATGTTATTGCAAATGGCAGGATTCCATTCTCTTTTATGGCTATATAATATTCCATTGAGTATATATACCACAATTTTTTCATCCGTTCATACACTGATGGACACTTAGGTTGATTCCAAATATTGGTTATTGTGAATAGTGCTGCAATAAACATAGGAGTGCAGGTATCTTTTTGATACACTGAATTCCCTTCTTTTAGGTATACCTAGCAGTGGGATTGCTGGGTCATATAGCAGTTGTAGTTTTACTTTTTCTAGAAACCTCCATACTGTTCTCCATAGTGGTTGCACTAATTCACATTCTCACCAACAGTGTACAAGGCTTCCCCTTTCTCTACATCCTCACCAGCATTCATTATTATCTATGTTTTTGATAAAAGCAATTTTAACTGGGGTGAGATGATATCTCATGGTAGTTTGGGTTTGCATTTCTCTGAAGACTAATGATGTTGAGCATTTTTTCATATACCTATTGTCCATTCATATGTATTCTTTTGTATTTGCATTCAGATCCTTTGCCC